AAATTTAAATGTAGCAGTGACCAGGCTGGCTGCTGTATTTTGCACTTCCAAACAACCTTCAAAGGCAGCCCCATGTAGAGAGCATTGCAATAGTCAGTCCTTGAGATTAGCAACACATGAACCAGTGTTATTAGGGATCTCCTGTTGAGAAGGGGACAGAGGTGTACAATCTGCCTCAGATGGAAAAAAGCAGATTTGGCCACAGCCAGGATCTGTTTCTCCACTGAGAGGGCTAGGGCCAGAAGCACACCCAGATTTTGCACCTGATTCTCCAGGGGGAGTGTGACCCCATCAAGGTTAGGTAACAGACCCCCCTAACCGATCAGGATGCCCTCCCAACAACAGGATCATCATCTTATCAGGATTCAATTTCAGCCTATTTGCTCTCATCCAGTCCATAACCACAGCCAGGCAACATTTTAGGGTCTATACAGCTTGCTGTACAGCTTTTGCAGCATCTTGTAACAACATATGATCCTGGAATTTGGGAAACCCTGGAAATACCATGGATATAGTACAGTGGACCCTTGACTTACAGACGGCTTGACTTACAGACTTTTTGAGTTACAGACTTCTCTGGCTGCAAAATTTAGGTTTGACTTGCAGCCTGAGAATTGACTTACAGACCAGAAAAAAACCCAAAATGGAACAAAAACGGCCTGTTACGGGATTAATCAGTTTTCAATGCACTGTAGGTCAATGGAGACTTGACCTACAGACTTTTTGACTTGAGAACCGCCTTCCAATATGGATTAAGTTCTCAAGTCAAGATCCCACTGTATAGGGAATAGGCAGAAATCTCATATCATCCTTATGTGAAGTCTTATGGAAAGGTGCGTCTTATGGAGCGAAAAATACGGTAAGTTCTCAAGTCAAGACCCCACTGTATAGGGAATAGGCAGAAATCTCATATCATCCTTATGTGAATGGATTAGTAATTAGGCTCCAAGCTAGTCTAGTGTTTAGGTTTGGTTTGCCTCTGTTTTTATTCTTGGAAATAAATGCCCATAGTTATTTTACTTAAAATGAATCTAACCAATAAAATTTGGCCGAGGAAGGCAAAGATAAGACTAGCTTGTTTATAGGAAGTTCTGTGGTTGTGCATTAACTCTTCACAATGTGATTGAATGCACTTGGCATTTCTTTCATAGTAAGGTAACTTTTGGTCACTTTGTTGATCTGCTCGTGGCCAATGTTTACTTAGTTTCTGGGAATTTGAGGGACCAAATACCTACACCTTCTAAGTGCAGGTGTCAACACCTTCCAAGTGCTGGAGAAGGATGGCAGCTTCACATTTCCTTTAGGTCCAACTTTTAAAAAAAGTGAGCATAGCTAAGATTTTCTTAAAGTCTAGTTAGGAAGCCGGAAGTGTTCCTATTCAGTAGCTTTACAGCAAATTGAAATTTTATTCAACCAGACTATAGAGCATATTTGAGAGCTTCATATATATATCACTTCACTTCAGGGTTGCTTGTTTGATGTGTAAAAAAGTACTTTTTTTCACTTTAAGGTTTTGTTTGGTACAGCACCCTAGAATAAATGTTTGCTAATTATGTAACATTGTGTTCCTCCAATACCGATTATTGAATCTATGAAACAGAGATCTTCATAAGCTGTCCAGTACAAGGAAAGAAGGACATACAGTAGACATATCCATTGACATAGTGTAATACATTATATATTTATTTATTTAATTTATTTATTCGACTTTTATGCCGCTGGCACCCTGCAGGAGTATTGTAAAGTTATTGCTCGTATGTCTTATAAGCTATTGAATTTCTGACAAAATTCATACTATATTATAAGCTATATTGGATGATGGAAGCTCTGACATAATATTTTTATTTCTGTGCCATATCTTAGGGTATATCACCTGGTTTGCAAAAAGGGTGAAATATTACAATGTGTGTATGAGACTGTGTATATTTACAGTATGGACCTTAGCTTGACAGAAGCTGTTTGTAATTATAAGTTTCCAGTGAAGAGTTTAGAAAACAATTTTGTCAGGAATATAAAATGTGAAAGCATTCAGAAAGAATGAAGTTTAGTTAAATTCTAAATTTAGGTAATTGGTTCTAACATAATTTGTCATAATAATGATAGTGACTATCAGCACCTTTAGGAGTCTTATCCAAACAGTGTAGCACAATGGTTCCCTGGGATAACCCAGGTGTTCTTCGACTGCAGCTCTGAGAAACCCCTGCCAGCACAGGTGTTGGTAAAGGCTTCTGGGAATTGCAGTCCAAGAACACCTAGGTTACCCAAGGTTGGAACCTCTGGTGTAGCAGCATTTTTTTTCTTGGCCTGAGTTGCCCTCTAAACATACAGACTCTTTTCTATGATGCATTTTTCCACAATTGTGGACTGTGTGAGAATAATCCCTTAGAAAACTCAGAACAGATTGAGTGGACATTTTCTACGCAGTCAGCATATGACATGATATTGCATCACAGAAAATCAGCTCCTACACATCTGCAGCTAGGTGTGAAGGGCACATCACAGTTGTTACTTAGTCAGCAATTATCTTTGTTGCAATGAAGCAGCAAATTCAGCTAGCACTTCAAGAAAGCATAAACTAGGTTAAATCTCACTAATAAGAGACTCAGTATGCAAAACAAATGCACTCCCATCCTCCTATAATCTTCTTTTCCCCCTTCCTCTTTACTGAAGTTAAGTCTTTGATCTGTCCTGATCAAAGTCAATATGCATAGCTGTGGAAACAATTATATTGGCCCAACCTGCCATAGAGGTATCAAAGATGAGGCATTTATCAGGAAAAGGAGATGGCAACCATAATTCAGTGCTAACTGTGGTTGAACACATGGGGTTTCAAACCAAGACTTTGAAGAGTTCTCTCCATGGATAGCCAAAGCTGTTGGTTTTAGTTTCTCCAACATCTGAAGTTTTCAGATTTCAAGCTCTGTCCACCAGAGTATGAGTAGATTTGCCAATTTTGGACAAGTCTTATTAAAACCAAACTGAAAAGAAACCTATTCCTAATTGTACTGAATAGTAAGTGCTTACTTGTATACAATGCAGAAGGTAACCACATTCCTTCATTTTTGATCCTCAGTTTGGATGGTAAACTGCCTCTCACTGAAGTGAAAAATGAAAAAGTCGAAGTGGGGAAATTATCCTTTTTATGGTGATGTTCCCCTGATTCTTCCCTCCAGATGTGCCCCCCTGCAATCATTGTTAAACAAGTTAACTGAGGAGTCAATCCAGTTGATTCGGAAACTGTCACAGTCTAAGATGATCTGTTATAGGCAAAAAAGTAAGCTTATTTTTCCCTTTGAGCAAACTCCCTCTTCTCAGATATGATAGAAAGTTCCTCCTATCAAAATTGCCTGTTCAGTTCTAAAATACAAAAGTAAAATAATGTATATTATGACTTAATTTAGTATTTTGATTACATCATTTGTAGACTAAGAATGTTAATATGTTTGTACATCTGCAGCATTTGGAAGTCCAAGGGATGATGCATTTTTCTGCCCGCTCCTCTGCAGTTGTACAGAAATCTAGGAGAAAAGGAGACAAGCTACTGTTAGAAGCTTTTTCAGTCCTAACCTTTCTTTGTTCTACCACTGTACTGTCTCCTTTTCTAGTTAAGTGTTTGTATGTGGGATAACCAGATGATCTGGGAGAAAACAAGGAGCCTTTTGTTCGTCTGATAAATTGTACCAAGGCAGAAACTTCATCTTAAAAATGTCCAGGAATGCACCATACATTGTTCAGATGTGTAAAATGATTGGCCACAAGCACAGCATATCGAAGACTAATGCTATAACTTTTCAATGTACATTAGCGATGGGGGTAGTAAAATTGCTTGGAGAAACAACAGCTTCTAGAATACTGTATACAGCATGGGCAGTTATAGTCAAAAAAGTTACATTCAGAAACTCTTAACAGTAGAAGGTATATGTAAACTCTTACCATCTTATTTACTCCTTATCTTGTAGTTTGTATAACTATGAGTAAAACAATGTTTTACTTTTTCTTGGATTTGAGACGAAGCAACAATATTGTAAAACCTGGTTAGGCTTTGACTAATACCTAAGCCTGACTTAGCAAGCAAATTAGGGTTTCCAAAACTAGACTGCTACTTTAAGTATTTCTTTCTCACACACTTCTTACATAGGCTAAAATCCAATAACAAGGTTAATGCAGATAGCATACTATAACTTTTCACAAGCAAAGTGAATGTGGATGTTATCTGTTGTGAAATAGCATACTATAACTTTTCACAAGCAAACAAAGTGAATGTGGATGTTATCTGTTGTGAACCCATTCATGCAACTCTCTATGCAGCAAATAATGCATGTACAGATCTCGTAACTTACAGACCACTGCCACAAGCTATACCGTGGGAGTTACACTGGCAGTAAGATTTGGGGCTATAATTAATATATAAGGCAGTAATGGGTTTTGTATATGTAACTGCATTGCCCAATTCTGCATGGTCAGCTGTAAAAGATTATGGAAACTGAAGTACAAAATATCTGAATAGCCAGAAGTTCCAAATAACTGTTATAAGAGGAACCCATTCCCCATGTGCTAAAACAATGAGATGTATGTTGGCAGATGTTATCATATGGAACCCTAAGAGCCTTTTCTGGCCTCAGATTCTGCATTACTTTCTAAATGGCAAGTGTACGGAATCTTATTTTATTTACTTCTGGGATCTTGTCCACAGCATGTCATACTGTGAGAGGATATGATCTCATATCCTCAGGAAGTGGGCTGTAATCCACAAAAGCTCATTGAAGTACATTGTTAACTCTTAAGGATGCCATGAGGCTTTGGTTTTTGTTTGTGTGTGTTTTGCTTCATTTTTCTTTTACATGGTGAAACAGAGTATTTAATTTGAATATTATTTATGCTACATGTCACAGCAAGTCACTTTAAATATTATATTTAACCAAGGTAACCAATTACAAATAAATGTGGTGGAAAACAGCAGTGATTCCAACCATTCATTAACTTTACTTTCTCCTTTTTAGATTGTCTTGGATTGAACCATGAACTGGCATTTCTCTCTTCTCTTTGCTGCCTTGGCTTCAACGTGTATGTGTTTCCCACCAAATCCGCTGTCTCTTGAAGAACTGGGATCAGACATTGGGATCCAAGTTTTCAATCAGCTGGTCAAAACCAGACCTAAGGATAATGTTGTGGTTTCTCCACATGGAATTGCATCAGTACTTGGAATGCTTCAGCTTGGAGCCGATGGGAAGACAAAGAAGCAGCTGACAACAGTCATGAGATACAGTGTAAATGGTCAGTTCTTCTGCTTTGTTGGCAAGCTTTGAGATCTTGATCAATCTCTGAAATAAATCTCAATTATATTGCAATTTTCTGTAATTGCACAAAGTGGAGTCTTTATTCAGAACAGTGACTACTGTATTTGAGAACATTAAGCAGTTATCTTGGTCTAGTGCATATTAAATAGGTGGCAGTGAAGCTCTATCTCTCATATCAGAAAGCATCAGTGGTTACAGTACATTGAAGCTAAACACAGTAAGCTTCCAAAGCAAGTAGTATTCATTTTCATTGTCAGGGTTATGTGGCAAGCATAAAAAGGTCCTCTTTGTGTGACTGATGTGTGTATTCAGATGCTGTTCAATTTAAAAAGCCCTGTATATAGTAAAAAATTTAAGCCGCATCCTTCTTGCTTGCTTCTTTATTGTTTTGAATTCCTTACTATGGTTATGTAGCCTTTCCAGAGTTCTTCATTTGTGCTCAGGATCTTGCTTTTTCCTACGCTCTCCTCCTGAAGTTGGCAGGTATCAACATTTTATTCCCCAGCCAGAAATACTCTCATGGCAGGAGTTTCGTGGACCTTGTTGCTTCCCTTAGCATGCTGAGTGTGCTTTGCAAGTGCTAGCACATCTGAATTCATCTTAGAGTACACGCAGAACTGTAAACTAGTTCATTCAACTGAAACTTAAAAAAAAAGATTGGGAACATTTCTCCATACTTACAGAAGTTAAAATACTTTGTGTAGCAAGTATGCTATCCCATTGCCTGCTTTTTTCTTTTAGGAATAAGTAAGTTACTCATATGAGAGGCTTTCTCTTAGCTGTGAATATTTGAATTTTTTAATGGAGTAACCTCCAGTACCACAGCATTTTATCTGTTTGGCTCTGTTCAAATAATCCAGCTCATACAGAAAAGTTTAAGTATATTTTTATTAGATTTCTGGATAGCAGAACACATTCATGGTTGCATGGCAGTAGTTCTTACGAAAATGTGTGCGTGCGTGCATGCGTTTGTTTGTTTGTTTGTTTGTTTATTTATTTACTTACTTACTTACTTATTTAATCCTGCCCATCTAGTGCCAGGGCACTACTCTGGGCAGTTAACAACAATTAAAATACCACAACCGTATCAAGTCTCAAGATTTGAAGACCTCTAGTTAGAACATTGGGGATAATGCAAAGGTCTTTTTTATTGGTTTGTTATGTGATTCCAGAATTTTATTTGCAAGGCTGTGTGGTGTTGAAACCAAATCCGTAGGCACATCACTGTACCAAGATCCAATGGTGTAACACAGAATTCGGTGCTGGTAGAATTGAGATTGATCTTTCCTTTCTGTTTCAGCCCACACTGCTGTTAAACTTCTACTTCAGATGGTTTCCAAGAACTTCAGAGCAAGCTTTAGGATGCCTAAGAGGGAACGATGCTGTAGGAGTAGGAGTAGTTTGTTGATAACTAGTTGAAGGAGCAGGGCCCAGTAGAACTGTAACTTTTTATTCTGGCCCTATTTTCAAATTAAATTTTAGTGACTTTCCCAAGGATGGTTCATCTTCCCAGCAATTCCCTATTGGTTAAGTGCATTGGGCCAGTCTTTTAGTTTAATACAGTGCTTAAACACTGCAGAAGAGACTGAAACATTAGAAGATAGCAATGTCAGTTCTTCCAGTTGTAAAATGGCTACAAAGTGTTATGGTTTTGGTTGGGATGTATCATAATGCTAAAAAAGAGGGGAAATAGTATATCAGTCCCAACAAAAAACAAACTACAGTACATAAAATGGGATCCACACAAACCTAGAAGAAACAATAAAACAACATTTTCTCCAGTACTTACTGTGTCTAATGAGCAAATCTAAAACCTCTCCTAACCATAAAAATGTAACTGTGATGTATAGACCCAGCCATCACAACCAATTCAAATCAGAAATAGATACAATAATAAAAGAGGTTATTAACAGTACTTGATAATTTACAGGTACAGATTTCAAAAGGATGCCAAAAATATCACAATGTCTAATATTTCCTTGTTTTTGTGATTATGTGATAAGGGAGTGGAACCTAGGTGGGGAGGTAGGGTGACTCATGTTTTACCCTGTATATTGCCCAGAGTAGTGTGTGTTTATAAATCAGGTAGTATATAAATGAAACAAACATACAAATAAATAAACCCTTAAGAACATTTACTTGAGAGAGGTTCTCTTTTTAAAAAAAATATTTTATTAATTTTCAATGAGACTAGGAGTTGGGGTGTGGATAAAAGGGGGTGGGGGAATAGATAAGGACAGGGAAAAGGTACAGTTCCAGAGAATGAAAGGGTAAACACAGTTATGTTAAAAAGGGAAATCACCCACTAAAACAAAACAATATCACCATTTTTCCAGAATATCTGTAGTTAGTAATCTCTGCATTCCCTTGGACCCTCTCATTCTTTTTTATCTTATATTTTCCAATCCATATTTCAAATTCAATTATAAAACCGTTCTCATTTTTAAGACCTTATCTATAAAACATCCCATATATATTACTTAAGAGTAGGTTCTTAGGTATAATTGAAACTTTTCTTTAAATAACTATGCATCATATCATTGTTCTACTTAAGACAAAATTTCATGCATCTGATGAGTTGGGCTCTAGTCAATGAGTGCTTATGCCATAATGATTTTTTAAAAAAATCTTTAAGGTGCTGTAGTCCTCTCTGTTTTGCTGCAATAGAGTGACAAAGTTACTGATCTGTAACGTATGGCTTCTTGGCTGAAATCAGTAGTAAGTTGTGACTAGAGTAGCCCCATTGACTGCATTGTCCCTTTATCTTAGATATCTGCATGAATGTTTTACCATGTAGTCTTTGTATTTTCACTGTGATGTCTGAAAAAGCAAGCTTGTTCCACAGAAACTTACATTAATATATAATAGTTAATCTTTAAGGTGCTACAACATCTTTTTTTCCTTGCTTTGTGCTTTTTATTTTGTACTTCTTGCCCATTGAATCAGTGGATTTTGCAGAGGAATTGATTCAAAAGATCCCCACTGATGCAATGGGTCTGCTTTGGTTATTAATTACTACTGGATTTCAGCCACTCAAATGTGATTTTAAAAAAGCTCATTGGTTTTTGCTTACCTCTTGTATTAGGAGTTGGTAAAGTACTGAAGAAGATAAACAAAGCCATAGTCTCAAAGAAGAATAAAGATGTTGTGACAATTGCAAATGCAGTCTTTGCAAAGACAGGCTTGAAAATGGAAGTGCCTTTTGTATCCAGAAACAATGAAGTATTTCAGTGCAGTGTCAAGAACATTGACTTCGGGGACCGGCACACAGTCAGCGATACTATAAATCAGTGGGTTAAAAATGAAACAAAGGGTATGTGATGATAAAGCAGCTGGCTTGCATTTCTGCTTGTTACCCCTCCCTTTCTTGTTCTTCTCCTACTTGTTAACCTTCTTTCTTTTCTTCTGTAGGACTAAATGTAATAAGTCACTTGGAGCAAAGTATTGACTGTTTTGATTTGTTCTGTAGAATACTATGGACATTAATAGTGCAGAGTAGTATAAATCTCTTAGGTCTAGCAATATTTCTTCCTCTGACATGTAATCCTGATGCCCTTATTATTACCACTCTGTTTCTTCTGTTCCTCTTGTAATGCCTTAATGAGACATTCCAGATTCTTAAAAAATCAAAATTTTAAAAAAATGGAAAACATTTGGATTGCTTTTAGTTTTTCCTAGGTCATGTCTACTTATTTTTCAGTACTGTACATAAAACTAAGCTGAAATGTTCCAATTAAAGCAAACTTTTATTGTCTAAACTTGTGAAAAAAGGCATAGTGGAGCTGGAAAAGGTGCAGAAGAGAGCAACTAAAATGATGACTGGGCTGGGGCACCTCCCTTATGAGGAAAGTCTGCAGTGTTTGGGGTTCTTTAGTCTAGAGAAAAGGTGCCTGAGGGGGGACATGATTGAGACAGGTTACAAGCCATAATGGGGATGTATAATCTCCAGGCTTTAAAGGAAGGTACCTCCAAATGCCACATGCAGGGGAGGGGAATCCTTCAGCCTTGAGAGACTATGGCAACATGCTCTGTATGGAGGGGAGACAGGTATCTTGTGTGCTCCTAGAGGCATCTGGTGGGGCGAATGTGAGATACAGGCAGCTGGACTAGATGGGCCCTTGGCCTGATCTAGCAGTGTTCTTATGTTTTTATGTTCTTATGGAACACCTTCCCTAACTATATGCTGTATAATAATTGAATACTGATAATTCCCTTGTGGATATGTTGGCCAAGATTATAATCTCCATTCTAAAAGACCTTCTGTCAACTGTATCAACATGCAGGTCCTAGCACTGTGCTTTTCTTTTAAGTTTTCTCTGTTGATTGCTATTTAATTATATATGTCAGAGAAAAACTATATGAGTGGCTGGTAGGTAAAATAGTATGTGAGAAGTATGTAGGGAAAGGAAAGAACACCTCTGTAGCTTGCTGACTTCCTGCTTGTAAGTTTAATAATAATAATCTTAGAACTGCAGGAAAGCACAATGGGGAATTAAATAACCTGAGTTATCCAGCAGTTCAGTGTTTCAATGAATTACTTAATATTACATTATGTGCTGCTATGGAAAAATATCAAATGCAACAGTAATACAAAAGGTCTATAGAAAAGGAGAGTAACTCCTCATTTTTGTAATGGTTTTTTTTAAAGGGAAGGACTTTTGGGTGTGGGAATGGATACAGGCCATCAAGGTTTGGAGGTTGGTGTATGTGGCTGCCTTCCTGTAAAAGTTGCTTCAATTTTTTAAAAAATGCAGCTTGCAATCAAATTACATTTTACTCTTTCCTGCCTCCTATTGATTTAGGATTTTTTTTGGTCTGATAATGAACAGGTTTCTCTCTTGTTGTTTTCAGGTATGATTGACAGTGTCCTATCTCCAGATGCTATTGATAGTGATCTGACCAGATTAGTGTTGGTAAATGCAGTGTATTTCAAGGGATTATGGAAGTCACGTTTTCAGCCAGAAAACACAAAAAACAGAGCATTTAATGGAGCTGATGGAAAGACCTACCAAGTGCCTATGCTGGCTCAGTTGTCAGTGTTCAGATGTGGTATGTTCAAGCATGGTGTTAATCTGTAGAAATGTAGAATTTTCTTTCTAGATTTGTTACATTCTAGCAAACATATTTACGTGGGGATGTATTTTATGAAATAATTAACTTCTATATTAAATCATTAGGTGAAAAAATACTGAATATAGCTATGGTAAAAATGGAACCTAATAGCTGGATGACTTGATATCTTTTAGAAGAGGGCTTAAACCGCAACATAGTTGCTTGGAAATAAGTTTTCTAGATGTTGCATATATATTCCATTCTTCCGGAGTTTATTGTAGTTAACAGTGGCAAACAGGTTTGTTACTGATTGACATATGATTCATATGGTATCCTTAATATTGATTTGCAGAATGAACCATTGGCAGTTAATGTTTCTTATTTGTTACAACTACGCATCAGATGAAGGTACCATGAACTATACATGGAAGTAAGTGTATGTATGAGAAAGAGACAGAGAAGGAGGAGGAGGAACTGTAAATATGGCTAATGCCTAGTCATAACTGGTGCAAGTTCCTAGGAGAGGCCTTTAGGACAAATGATGGTTGGGCAAGAGAAGGTTTCAGTACTCTTAATAACCACAATCATGGATTCAACAGTTATCTCACTGAGAAGATACTGCAGTAATGATGAACATATTTCCTTCCTTTGGTAGATTTTGCTGTTACAGTTTGCTTTGTAGTGGAATTCACTCTTAAAGCACCATCTTCCCCTGTCTGTTGCTTCCCCTTTACTGAAGAAGGCAGATGAAAGAAATGGAGGATGCCAAACTTGTAGACACCCATTTTTTTTGCATTCAGAATTCATTCTGAGTGAGACTACACTGTCTGTTTCCCCATGCAAAATGTAAGTTGCCTTGTGAATATCAACAAGCAGAGTTTGGCATTTTCATTCTTCACAGGAGTATAGTACTGACAAATCTGAGCTTTTCACATTTCTGAAGAAAAGTGGCAAGTATTTATGGTAGATTGAGGGAGAGCCCCGATTACATAGTATGTGTTAAACACATATAGAAAATTAATGAGTGATTTGTAAGGCATTAATAGATAAAAGTTTGGTAAAGTCATCCTGATTGTGGTGATTTTGGGTAATTAAAGACTCCCCCCAACATCCTACAGCCCCCAGCATCTTCTTGACTATGAAAGGGTTTCTGTGGGAGCCCTGGAACTTTCAGGGGAGAAATCTGAAATATTTTCTTTCTGAAAAATTGCCATGGCTGACAAGTTACTAGTCTAATGCAGTGCAATTTATGGCAAAGGGATTTCAGTCAATGTACAACCATTTTTAAATATTGATTGTTTGGACAGATACAAGCTGTTTCACTGATTATCACAATGATTATTCACAATGATTATCAAAGAAAGATAAAGAAATATATGGAAAAACCACCTTACTGTGCACATCACAGCAAGCTAGAAAGCTTTGCTTTATCATATAGATTGGTGCATGGTTCCGGATCCTTGTGTTTCTAGTGGAAATGGCTAAACAAACATAGACCTTGAGTCTGGCTTGTTTAGCATGATGTGTGGACCTGGCAGCAGCCGGTACTTTTGCTTGTTTTTCCCCACAGCAACCAAGAGAAAGAAACCATAGAACATAGCATTGATTATTTCTCCACCTTGTTGAGGGACCTGGCCTGCTGGTTGCTGCTGGCTTTGCATGTCCACAGTAAACAGACCATTGGCTGGAATCAATGCTTTGTTTACCTGTGCCAGATGCAAGCAGTGCTGAGCAGGCATCTGTAAGCAGCACACACACTGAGTTCCAGTGGGAAAAAAACTTGCCATCATTCTGTAGAAAGTACCACTTTCATAATATAGAGAAACCAGTATGGAAACCAACTTAGTTTTTCCATTAATATTTTATATAGGTTTCATTAATGTGCTAATTTTGATGGTCAGTAAAGCACTTACGTGTAATTGTTATTAGTATAGTGTTGAATTTCCAGTTAAGCTATTGGAATATGCCTGGTTTGGTAGCATGTTTATTATACATTTGGCACAGTTGTGTTTAACAATTTTCAGAGAGGTTACCATATTAGTATATTTCAGCAAAAACAAACAACCAAAGCAATTTGAATATTTGTGCATTGCCTTAGCCAAGCCAGTTGACATCTTTTGCAGAGTTCCTGCAGGAATCTAAATTGGCTGAGTGTTTAAAGCCAACTAAAAGGAAAGTCAAGAATAGATGTTCCCTGTGAATCCCTTTCTACTCTGATGATCCTATTGAAGATGTAATTCCTACTCATTATCTTAGGACAGTTACAATCTCCTTATAGTATTAACTCTAAATCTGACCAAGACAAAGCAACACAACAGTTCCTTGTATGCTATTGTATCCTTGGAACAAAGGAAAAGCCATTTGCTATGCCTGACAGCTGTGGAACTAAAAGAGGACTCTTGAGACACAAGAGAGTTATATCAAAGTCTACAAATTGCCAAAATTTAATGATCAAAAGGGATCGCCCACACAAAACAAGACTAGTGTGGTCTGAGTATGCTCATTGACCATAGAACTGATTGCTGTATAGCAAGATATAGGTTGCATGCAACATGAAGTCTTAGTTGTGCAGTCACTCAGCTTATCTCAGACTTTTTGTTGCTGACTTAGTAAAATGTCTGTGACACTTGTTGAGTGCCCTATAAACTTTTTTGGTGTTCTCAGAATATCTGATTCATGGGAAGAAGCTGTCCTGTTTTCTTTGAAAACTTCATAGAGACAGTTGGCATAGCTTGACAGGTTTCAGAACATTTCTGATTTTGTATTCGAGAAGGCTTTCACGGCCGGGATCTAATGGTTGTTGTGGGTTTTTCGGGCTCTTTGGCCGTGTTCTGAAGGTTGTTCTTCCTGACATTTCGCCAGTCTCTGTGGTCGGCATCTTCAGAGGATTGGAGTAGGACAGAGTTCCTGCTCCAGTCCTCTGAAGAAGCCAGCCACAGAGACTGGACAAAAGGGGAGATGCTATCCTCTGTGGCTTGGTATTCTTCACTGCAGAATGAAATGGAGGGCGGGTAAGCAGCTACATAAAAAAGGAACAGAAACAAGTTAGGACCCTGTAGGAGGTTGTAAAGTGGGAGAAGGAAAGGGAAAACATTATTTCTGTCTGTCCTTCCTGCAGTGTCCTTCTGAATCCCTAATTTTCTTTTTCTCCCTATGGTTGTGGAGAGCTGTGGTGTAGAATCAACTGGAAATCTGGCAACAGAAAAGCTTTGGAAACTCAGTTCTCTTTCTTTACAGCAATCAAATTTGATTTAACAAATATTTATTCTAGAGTCATTAACCAGCTTGCTATTAAATCAAAGCTAAATGATTTGTTATATCTTATATATTTTCCCCTCTTCCCTTCTCTCTCTCCCTCTCCCCCTTTTAGGTACAACAAGTACTCCTAATGATTTGTGGTACAATGTTATTGAGTTGCCGTATCATGGTGAAAGTATCAGCATGTTGATTGCTCTGCCCACAGAAAATACAACTCCTTTGTCTGCTATTATTCCTCACATTAGCACGAAGACTATACAGAGCTGGATGACAACTATGGTACAAAAGAGAGTACAGGTTATTTTACCAAAGTATGTGCCGTTTTTCTCATTCCATCTGATACAGGGAAACTCTGAATGAAAAAATTATGAATTTTTGACTGAGTGATTTTCTGTTGTGCCCACCAGGTTTACAGCAGAAGCAGAAACCGATTTAAAAGAACCTCTAAAAGAACTTGGCATTCGAGATATGTTTGATCAGTCAAAGGCAAACTTTGCAAAAATAACAAGTGAGTTCTATTTTTTGCATATGGTGTCCTAGAACCATAGATTTGCAGTTGGATTATCAAGATTTTACCCATTATAAGTAGAGCATGCTAAAATATTGTACACGAACTGGTGCTTAGAACAGATACATGGATATTTTTAAATCCTGGATTTGTGGGTTGGAATTGGGAATGGACAGTTGTGGCCCTCTAAATATTTTTACCTACAATTGTTGTAATCCCTCACTATTAACTTTGCTGACTAGGGCTTATTATATAGGCCAAAAGGGGTCACTGTTGCCAACCTTTGCCAACCTTTAAGTAACAGTTTAATAAAACATATTGACCAGTGTGGCAGTATACTTCAGTTTTTCGTAAATAATCTTTCTTTGTCATGAAGGGAAAGATGTTTCTAAAGATGCTTGCCCCTACAATATTAGGTAGTTGGTTTTATGCATGTAATCAAGATACTGCATTTGAAATCTTGTTTCCCTCACATAAGTAAAAAATACTTAAAAGTAGTGACATTATAGGTTCATCTTAATAGAAATCCATCAAAGTATGTGTTTTATATATAGGTGGTTTGAAACACTGTACTTGAGTTTGTTTTTCTTTCCTGTGAAATGAAAAAAAAAGCTTGTTTTTGAGAAATAATGCACCCTTTGCTCACAATGATGTATGCAATGCTTTGTTTATTGTAGTAGCAGCTGAAAAACATTGGCACTGCATGCCAGGAGGTTTGTAGCACTTAATAAATTGGATGGAAGTTTGTGTTCTCTGCATTAAAAGCAGTGATGTTGCCACTGCAGTAACTTAAGAAGGCACAAGAAGTATGCTTAACTAACTTCATCCTTCCCCAGCTTTGTAAGGCAGAGTTGGACAAAAACTTCTTTTTAACACAGAAAGATTGGAAGGTAGTACATGTGATATCAGTCCTTAAAAATGGGTCCCCCAGGGGAAGGGAACTAAGAAATTATAGGCTGTCAGCCTATAGTTTGCCCTGATACAAGGATTTACACTAATAATTCTTAACACATTATAAGAATAATTCTTGGTGAAGAAATATCTCATGGCTTCTGCAAAATAATTTGTGCATCACCAGTTTGTAAATTGGGGACAGCAACTTGTAGCCACCTAGATTTTCTTTGGCTACAGCTGCAATATACCCATCAGCTCTAGCTAGCATTGTTGTTATTTAGTCGTGTCTGACTCTTCGTGACCCCATGGACCAGAGCACGCCAGGTCCTCCTGTCTTCCACTACCTCCCGGAGTTGGGTCAAATTCATGTTGGTAGCTTCCATGACACTGTCCAACCATCTCATCCTCTGTCGTCCCCTTCTCCTCTTTTCCTCACACTTTCCTAACATCAGGGTCTTTTCCAGGGAGTCTTTTCTTCTCATGAGATGGCCAAAGTACTGGAGCCTCAGCTTCAGGATGTGTCTTTCCAGTGAGCACTCAGAGTTGTTTCCTTTAGAATGGATAGGTTTGTTCTCCTTGTAGTCCAGGGGACTCTCAAGAGCCTCCTCCAGCACCACAATTCAAAAGCATAGCCAGTAGTAAAATAGAATGGTTACATCTGTAAGAGCACAGGTTGTCCACCCTTTATATAGATAGTGATGATCCAGTAGATAGTGCATAATATTACTTATATGCCATACTCTCAGACAGGCCTCCCTGCTGTTTTTGTTCTTAGCACCAGAGGTCTGAAAGAAATATTTATATATATAGTTTCCTGCAGCCTTTTAGACATAATTTTCATTCTACTGATTGCTTTCATTATTTTTTTATGACGTTTCCTTTCAATTCCTTTCTTATATTCTAGTATGTATTTCAATTTGTTCTTGTACTTTCTTTGGGATATCACACTGGAGTAGTATATTTCATTGTTTTTAGCATTGTGATACTTTAAAATATATCTTTAATAGCAGTAACTACTTAAAATCAGGCTTTGTATCAGTTTCATATTGCTTTGGCTTTTTAAAAGTGAAGTGAATTTGCTTCTCTGAGGAATATAACATGTGGATCTATTATGTTCAACTTCAACAGGAACAGAAAGCATTCATGTATCACAGATCTTGCAAAAAACAAAAATTGAAGTTAGTGAAGATGGAACCAAAGCTTCTGCAGCAACCAGTGAGTATTTGATTGTTTCGTCCCAACCAGCAGTAATACATAAAAAGTCTAGCATTATTTTTGTTTTCTCTATTTAATCAATTTTAAAACATGTGCTAGTAAACTGATTTAGTCCCAACTAAGATTAAACACGTAAATCAATTGCTGACTTGTAAGTAAACACTTAAGTAAATCTCATTGCCTCAATGGGTTGCACTATTTGGAACTAGCAGCGGACTACTAGCCACAATCAAATTGTTACTGCAAGCCAGAATAATTTGACAGACTTCAGAAAAGCACTCATGAATCACCGTGTCCCTGAAGTCTAATTTATATGTACTTTTCAATAAAGAAAAATCAGCCTAAAGCAATGAAGGTTGGACGCTAATCTAAGAAAGGATACATTATGGTTGGCGTCATTTGCCAGGTCATTTTACCTGACTACAATATACAGTATTCCAAGAATAACATGTTTAGTCTTTGTAATAAGGAATTAAATGTTGCTTGGAGAATAATGTATTAAACTCTATGATTCAGTTGGTACTAGTTTATCAGTGTAAAGTGACTAATGATTCTGTTTTTGTTTTTCCAAGCTGCAATTTTAATAGCCAGGTCGTCACCCCCTTGGTTCGTAGTAGATAGACCGTTTGTATTCTTCATACGACACAATCCTACAGGTAAACAGTGTTGCTTAGTTTCTTGTTGACTTTGTTCTTTTTAGAATGGATAAATGCAAACAGCATTTCCCAGGAGACAGATGCCTGAAGCTAGAAATAAACATTTCAAATTTGCTGTCTTGTTCTACAAAATACGGGTGTGAAAGACCTCAGTTCTATATTGTGCATATGCCATTTCTTCCCTTAAAATGAAGAGCAGTGTGCAGCTGTGCAGGATTTCAACACTCAGAGGTTGTTGCCAGCAATTAATAGCCCCTCTGTTTCACTAGCATATTGATTAGCTCATCTACATGTATGATGTATGCTGGAGGTAGAAGTGCCAGCACTGTGGAAGGAGAAGACTTCTGGCATCATTTCCCAGACATGAGCAGCTTAGGACATCAAAGGAACATTATGCGATTCTGAAGAAGGTTGCTGGCCATTTGTCAAAACACCCATCTTTTTCCTTTGCTCTACTTCTCAGCTCTGCTTTTCCTCTAATTGATATTCTAGGCTTAGCATAAGCTAACTGCTTAGGGAAAATGATTCAGAAGGCGATTGGAGTACTACAACATCTTAATTAAATCTATATGCAGTCATCTTATCTCTGTTTGCTCCCTACTCCTTGCAAAAGGCAGGTTGAAAACAACACGTGTGAAAAAACAGAATATTTTTAAAATGCCATAATCATCAATATATAGAAGTGTCATACTTTCAGTAGATTTTCTAGCAGTGCTTCAGTGAATGGCAAAATGCTTCTTAGAAAAGATGGGCTTCAGGGGTTATATTTTTTCAAATGAGAAACTAGACTTAAAAGTAGCACACTTTATATAGCCAGACTGAAACATTCAGGAAGTCACCAAACAATGTAAGGATACCTTTGATAGTACTTCATAGCATTGACATTTTAATTCAGAATGTATTCTGAATACATACTTCATAGAAACTTTTTTTTTCTAGTAGTGAGTTATAGGTGAAATAGTCTGGGTTTCAGGGTCATGATGATTTTGTCCTAAAATCTACTTAATTTGGTTGTTCATTAAAATGGTTTTTTAATGTAGCTGTGAAAGTACTTTACTGCCAGTAGTAATTTTCAGTAATTAAAAACTTCCTCCCTATGTCCTGTGTTGTCCCCCCCCCCATGGGCTCCTGATAATGAAAGGGATTGTGCAGGAGTGGTGGGTGTCTTGAGGCGGAAGTAGAAGATACTTAATTTCCATCATCAGCTGTACATCTTTTTCTTACACCTGCCTGAAGAGTCATTTCTTGTCAGCCAGGCTTTTCTTTAGTGGTGGTCTGTCTAATAAGGCTTTTTAAATGGGAGGTTTTGTATTTTTGTTGTTTTAAAATCTATTTTATTAATCTTTTTATCTTAATGTTTTGATGTAATGTTTATTTTTTAAAAAATATTTGTAGAACTTACTGTTTTTAGATTTCAGATATTGTCTTTTTAACTATGTAAGCTGCCTTTGGTTCTTTTTAAAGAGAAAGGCAGGGTAAAAATATTTTAAATAAATTGAATAAGTAAATTTACCATGTAACTTTTGGGAGCAGGATTTTAGCCAGAAAATATTAACCACTTTTAATCTGCATTGGATATTTGCTGTTTAATTGTGTGCTTTCCACCTGAAATATTAGAACTTTAAAAGTGCTTAAATTTCCTTGAAACATTGTGTATGCTTACTTAGGAAACATTAATTTAGCAATTGGCCAGAACTGGTAATTTATACTTGTACAAGGGAAATTATGTGAGTCATGGCAGCAAATTGTCATTTATTAACAAGATACTGATTGCTTTACTAAGCACACCCCTCCCCAAACACCTTATGAAAAGGTATGTTTTGCCCAATGGTTTCTAAACTTCCTCTATAAATTTTGTGGTAGCTCCTTTCACAATGCTCCAGAAAGATACTAGATGGAGTATTGTGGAAGATTAAAACTGAGGCTGGGTTACAGTTTGACAGCAGCAGCACCATAACCCTTGAGGGCAGATAAAGTAGTTGTGCTGATGCAGATTTCTCTGCCTTTTGAGGATCTGGTTAAAACTTGCTGTCTAATTTAAAGTTTTCTAACCTCACTGTATTGGAGGTTTGTTTTATTTTGTTAAAAAAATCAGATATTTGTGAATTTATATAATATGTCCAATAACATCATTTCTTATTCAGGTGCAGTTTTGTTTATGGGACAAGTCAACAAACCTTGAACGTGAGAAGATTTTTTCCTTCTGAAGCAACTTTAAAGATTGATGCCCTTGTTCTGTTATATATTTTTGTACACTATTCTTTGGCTAGGAACTAGCTTTTGAGTGTGGTTGGTGAATTAGGTTTTGAAAAGGAGTTAAATATGTCTGGGGTTCTTTGTGAAAAGTTAAATGCCTTCTTCAAACCAGTTTAAGATTCTTAAAAACTACTGATTTAGACCCCTGTGCTAATAATTTTTGAAATTTTGTTCCAAGTATTTTGTTCTGTGATTTGAGAAGTCTTTAACCAGAGTTGGAACTAAAGGGACAAGTTTGATTTTTGTTTGGTTTGTACATGCCCTTCTACTACTGCTATTGCCAGTGGAGTAATCTGATGAGGCATTGCCTTTAGAAATAAATTTAATGCTTTAGCCAATTTATTTTATATTGTGCATGTATGCTAAGATTTAAACAACTAATGTCCCGATTAACGCGTTTGCATTGGTGTAATGTAAACTTGTCCTTGCTAGTCTACACTTTCTATGGATTTAAATTTTATATTTTTTGTACAAAGGAGAAAAATAAAAAGCATTATGAACAGATGAAAAAAGCATAGTGTCAAAGTAATCTTGGTGGCAAATATTTCAGATAGTTAAATATGAACTGAGCTGCTGAGTGGAAGTTCTGATGGAATTGTGCTGTGCTTGCCTAAGTGGTAATCAACTCCTGCAAAAATGACGTGCAGTGTAGAATACCTCTGTTCAGTCAATACAGTATTCTGAAATGTTCCGAATTGTAGTATAACTACTGAAAAATCATGTCTTGTCATCTCTCCCTGTAACCCATGTGTACGTTAAAAACAATCTGTAGACTCATACATGACTAATGTAGTACCATGTTAACTGTGGAAGAAATTTCTGTTACTTGGACATTGAAGCATTTTTTATAAAATAACAAACCACTGAGTTTTGCAGGCTGTTGGCTCTGTTGATTTTGTGTATACTCTGAAAAGGAGACATCTTCTCTGTTTGCTAAATGAATCTTTAACAGTTCCAGCTGAGACACAATACTTTACTTGTAGTTCTTGAGATATGCTAGGATCATTAGGAAATTGCTGTATTATACTAAGTCAGACAATTGTTCCCTCTTGTTCAGTATTGTCAGCTCTCACTGGGTTGACTTTTTACAGGGATTCAGGTAGGATGGTTTCCCAGGTTTAGCTGGAGATAATTGATATTCCCTTGTGGTTTCCTTTGCAAGTGCTCATCAGTCTGACCTTACTAAGATTCTATAACCAGACAAGGTGTTTTCTGGGTGGAGTCTCCTCCAAATTTCACATGTTCATAAGGCATATTGTCTCTTACGGTAGGGATGTGTACTACGAAAGGCTAGTGTTTTCTATCTTCCATATAAAATGAAAGAAACTTCATGTGCAGTCTTCATGGTAGCCAACAGTGTGGAAGGATCAATAATGTATCGTGTTTAACAGAAAAAGGTTGACTTTCAACACAGATTTCAAATGTTGCAGCCTTCTAATGGTTTTATTCATTTAAAGTATTTGGTGGTTCTTTCCACTTTCCTCCATATGCATTCAAGGCACAATAGAAGAAGGCATACAGTGTTGATTAGCCTGGTAGGTAAAAAGAATTTGTAAGATCATTACACTTGTCTGCCAGTTGCTTCATTACACTTGGAATGGGAACATCGGAAGCAGAACAGGTGAGCTATTGAGAGGGCACTGAACTACTTTCAGAGTAGCATAGGATTTGATAATTGAACATGTCATATTACTTGATTACAACTGCACGCTGTGTGCAATGTATTGCTGGGGGTCTATTTAAAATTTTATCTGGATTTTTCTGAGGATCTGGGCTCATTAAATAGCAGCTGTATTACATCAGCTACCAAATGCCAGCCCAAGTGAAATTGGCTTAGAAAATTATGTTACAAATTGCAAATGAGAGTGAAAGGAAGACTAGTCTCCAAACTCACAATGTGCAAGTACACAGTTATTGCCAGGAACACTTGTTTTTAAACTGAAACATGGACACACATTGAAATTAAAGTTCTAGAAATGTTTACTTTATAGTTTAACCTCACAACAGTACATAAGCTAGTGGGTCCATTCTACAAGTGAAAATTAAGCCTAAGGGAACCTTTGTCGTTAACTACCCAGTGAATTCAGGTGTTAAAACACTAGAAGTTGGATTTCCAGGCCAAATTCTAATGTTACTGACTTTCCCACATGGGTTCTAATTAGACTTTTTCTTTCTTTTTCGCTTAATCTCCTTTTTTTGTTATGGTGACCTTTAGGTTTGTGGACTTATTCACCTGGCACTAACTACCATGTTTCTAAATATGTGTTTCATTCTTCAAATAAGAAATTATGTTAAGCACAACATGGGAGAGAGTTTATACTAATTGGTGCAGAGATTCTGTATGATAGTTATTCCAAACGATCCTGTTATTCCCCATATCTAACATATTTTGTTAGCAGAAGTCTGCTTGAAGATGGTTCAGCTTTTTGTCGCTTGTTAGCATCTCAGGACCATTGAGTTGCCGTCTTAAATACTCTGAACCCATCCATACTGATACTGCTAGTATATATAGGAACCTGGCCTTGATGTCTCTTGCATTGTATTTAAATCCATAAAATGTAAAATTCACATACATCTTTCAAATGAGGTGCAAACTGATGTCACACTGTTTTAGAGGCTGACTATAGGACTGTTTAGCCTGCTGTTTGGAGCACTGCAGGGAGGGGGTGATGCACTCTTAAAGAGGGCGATCACAAGTCTTTGCTAGAGCACACTTGCTCTCCCCCAGAGTGGCCCCATCCTCACATTTCTGGCCCCTGTTAAGGGACTGTTGCTTTTCTCTTGTGGGGGTGGGATAATTTTGGTTCATAAGCAGCCTGCACTAGATTGCTCCCTGCTGCTGCTAGTGTAGTCAGACCCTTAAATAACATGTAATCTGCTAGCCTTCATGGATCAATGTCCACTTCCTCAGGCTTGCGCTGGTGTCTTGCTAATGCAGAGAAATCGAAATTCCCAAAAGTTCATGATAGTTGGTCGTACGAGGCTTGAGCAAGTGGACTTTGATTCAAGAAAGCTGGCAGATTGTATGTATATATTTAAACTGACTTAATAAATAATATTGTCTAACTTGCTTTGTAGTAAATAACGTTTTCTGAGATTTGATCTGGGAGTTTTAAAAAAGTGGTTACAGCACCATCTTGTGGGCAAATCAGATATGATATGCAATAAAATTTTACTACTTTCTCCAATGTCTTGTCTTTCACATAATTTAGTATCATGTAAGCTATTTGAGTCAAACCACCTACTGAATGAAGGAATCCAAATCAAAGTGTATCTGATAGACTGTTGTGTAATTTTGTTGGAAATACCTCCAGCATTGGAGCACTCACCATCTCCTGAGGCAATTGGTTTCCTTGTCGTATTGCTCTAACAGGCAGGCCATTTTTCCTGATAGTTAACTAAAATCTAGTTTCCTTTAACTTGAGCACGTTATTATGTGCCCTGCACTTTGGTTTGAGAAAAAACCTTTCCTCTCCTCTGCATGACAATCTTCAAATTTTTGAAAAGTGCTGGTTTCCAATCCCTTGATGACCTTTGTTACCCTCCTCTAAACTTGCTCCAGTTTGTTGACATCCTTCTTAAAATACTTGTTCACAGTTCTAGACACAGTATTCAAGATGAGGCGTAACTAGTCCCAATAGAAGGAAACTTCAAAGGATTTGGAGACTATAATTATTTTAATGCAGTCTAAAATAGTATTGGCCTTTTTTGCATCCTCATTGCACTGTTGGCTCATATTCAACTTCTAGTCTACTATAATTCCAAGATCCTTCTCGCATATCGTGTTACTGAGCCAAGTACTGTATCCCCCCGCTCAGTTTTTGTGTCATCTGCAGATTTGGTAAGTGTTCCCTGCATCTCCTTATCCAAGTTATTAATAAAAATTTGGAAGAGCACCTGGCCCATGACTGAGCCTTGTGGAATTCCACTTGAAGTTATCACCTTCCCGTTTGAGAAGGAGCCATTGATAAGCACTCTCTGAGTACCATTCTGTAACCAACTTTGCATCCACCTGACACTTCTATTTAGCCCACACCTAATTATGTTGTTAATCAGGATATCATGGGGCATTTTGTCCAAAGCTTTGCTGAAGTCCAGATATATTGCATCTACAAAGTTGGAGACAACCAACATTGATAGGCGGCTCCTGCTCCTGATCCGCTGCCTCTATGCAAAAACCAGGTTGAAGGTGAGATGTAACAGGGCAGGTCACCTCCCCAAGGCCATCACCACATATGCTGGCATCAAACAAGGCTGTGTATTGGCGCCCATTTTGTTCAACATCTATATTAACTCCTTTGTCAAGAATTTATCTGGAACCAACTTTCATCCCCTAAACTAGCAGATGGACCCCTATCTACTCTTTTATACGCAGATGATGTTGTACTTCACACATTAACCTGTGTTGGCTTACGGCAGTTATTAAGAGCCCTGGGCAATTATTGTAAAACTGAGGCGTTAGTAATTAATTATGATAAATCAAAAGTCTTAGTGTTTACTAGGAAATGGATCACACATAAATGGCAAATAAATGACCATCCAATTGAGCAAGTTAAATCTTATAAATATCTGCGTGTGATCTTCCAGTCCTCAGGATCTTGGAAGGCTCAATCATCCAACACTATTGGAAATGCTCAGAGAAATATTAAGTCACTCGTACGTTTTTTCTTTGCAAAAGGAGGTCAGCATATACCATCAGGCATACAGGTCTTCAATGCCAAGGTGTTAGCACAGATGTTATATGGTGCACAATGGTGTAGTTACAGAAATTTTATTTCAATGGAGTCCACTCAAATGAAATTTCTGAGAACTATCCTTGGACTCCTGAGTTGTGTGCCAAATGCACTTTTACGACTAGAAACAGGCCAGATGTTGATAGAGTTTCGGGCATGGATACTTAAGCTGAATTTTTGGCTAAAAATGTTCTTCACCCCTGTGGGGTTGGCTCCCCTAATGCTAACTGATAAGTTTCAGTCCAGATGGAAAAGATCTATGAATGAGAAATTAAATAATTTGGGCCTCTCGAGAAGTGCTATTTTGTTAATGGGCCATATAAAAGCAAAACAGGAACTACACCAGCGCATCACAGACAATGAGGTGCAACACCATGTCAGCATAGCTATGACCCATCCTGGCTTTAGAGATTATGGTAAGGCATTTTTACCTGCTAGCTATTTGAATATTCTGACCCTTCCAAAATATAGAAAAGCTTTTACATTAGCAAAGTTTAATGTACTTCCTTCAGTCCTGCTGGAAGGTAGATACAAGAACATTCCCTATGAAGAGCACTTATGTCCTTGTAAGGCCGGTGTGGTGGAGATGGTTGGTCATGTTCTGTTGTATTGCTCCTTCTATACTGGTATCCGTGACACTTTTATTCGTCCACTTTTGCAAAGCATTCCCGGTAGAGATGATGAGTACTATACATGTTATCTGCTGGCAGACCAGTGCCCATCAGTAATGATTAAAGTGGCCAGTTTCTGTGCAGCAGAAATGGTGCCTTAATCCTGTAGATATATACATATATGTATGCATATATGAATATGTATGAACTGGGGGTAGGGGTATGCTCCTAACATTTATGGAATTTGTTTCCCTAAGAGTCTGCCGCACATAATGTATACGTATTATAGTTGTATTGATTCTGTTTATTCTTGTGCGGTTGTTCTGTGTTATTCACATCTGATCTGTTGATCGTAATAAAGTATATTATTATTATCATCTACAGCATTCTCACCATTTCCCAGGGAAGTAGCCCAATCAAAAAATGAGATTAGTCTGGCACAATTTGTTCTTGACAAACCCATATTGGCTTCTAGTTATTAGAGCATTGTTTTCAAGGTGCCTGCAAAGTGACCTCTTTAATCTGCTC